GATAGAGGACAGCAACGCGCTCAAGATTCAATTTACAGATCACCGTTTGAGGCACCGATCAGATCGGCATCAATATTTGAAGCTGTCTGACGGAATTCTGACTATGCACAATTTCTCTCATTTTAGGCACATCTGAGCCTATTGTGATTATAACAAGTGGTATCAGAGCCCCTTGGAGCCGTCTCGACCATGCCTAGACCTGAGGAAGAGGGTGGCAGAGGTGCTGGAGGCAGAGAAGATGCCCGTTGCTCCGGTGCAACCTAGCCTTGGACCCTCTAGGGATGAGCCTAGAGTGTTTGGCCTTGACAAGTTCAACGGTGACAACTTTGCTGAGTGGTCCTTCAAGATGGAGAACATATTTGACCACTATGATCTGCTGGAGGTGATGGAAGGAACGGAGAAGCGCCTCGAGAACGACCCGGAGAAGAGCCCGTAAGTGCGGAAGAGCGCACAAGGCTATCTTCTACTTGAGCAAGCGTTGGGGAGCAGCCAAATCTGTCACATCAAGCCTTTTCAGCGTGAACCAGAAAAGGGACCAAAGGCATGGGCTGCTCTCAAGGGTGTACACACTCCTGCAACAGCGGCGGTGGCTGTGGTTTTGGAGCGGCAAATGGCGGCACTTCGAGTTGACGAAGGCGAACCGGTGGAGGAAGGAGTGCAGAAATTCTTCGACTTGTTGACATGGCTCGAAGGAGCTGATCTGAACTACAATGACCTTCAAAAGAAGACCAAGCTGCTGACTTTACTTCCGGACTCATGATCCTCGCTCATCATCAACCTAAATCGAGATCTGCCCCGCCTCTCGCTCGAAGATGTGAAGCGGGAAATCTTACAAGAAGATTTCCGCCGTCGTGAATTGGCGGGTCCCGATGGTGCCGAAGTTGCAAGCATGGGCCGTGGGCATGGCCGTGGAAGGGGCAGAGGGCGAGGAGGCAGATTTGGCAGCAGTAACTTCAATGGAGGCCGTGGTAATGGAGGATATGGCAGCAACAATAACAACAATGGCTACGGGCGTGGGCGCGATCGATTTGATGGCGAATGCCACTTTTGCCACATGTGGAGAGATTGCTTCAGATTGCCTGATGGATGGACCCCTTCTCAAGGCCAAGAGGGCAGAGGAGCAAGGGGAGGAAGAGGCAGAGGTCGTGGAGGTCGTGGTGGTCGTGGTAGCGAAGCGGCAAGCATGAAAGGTGGAGACTACGACAAGGACTCGAGTGAAGATCGATACCCGGGCCAATTCTTCTTTGTCTCCACGCAAGCGGCAGCTGTAGCAGGAGGTGTGGAAGGCTTTGAGGAGCCAGCTACTGTGGGAAAGGTCACCCTTCACTCTCTGGACTTTTGGGTGATCGATAGCGGCGCCACCTATAGCATGACACCTCGTGCGGACTTGCTCACTGAACTCGAACCGTCGCCGGTCAAGCATGTTACATCGGCTTTGGGGCAGCGAGCAGAGGTGAAAGGCATGGGCAAGGCCATGTTCGAGGGTGCTGATGAGAAGATGGTGGGCCTCAAGAACGTGCTTTGGGTGCCCAACCTTGCAGCCAACCTGATTTCCGTGCGGCGTTTGCAAAAGGCTGGCATGGACACATCTTCCAAGGGATCCAAAACCTATACCGCGAGGCTTGGAGAGCGGAAGCTTTGGGACCTTCATGAGGACATGGACATCTACAATGAGATGTGGCAAATCCCAGTGGTCCCTATGCCTAAGGAGAGGCAAGTGGCAGCAAGCATCAGCACCAAGAGTGAAGCGATTGGTGGCGGTGATCACGGAAAGCAAAGTGATACCAAGAGTGACTCGAAGGAGTGCAATCTTGGAGAGACCAGCAAGGTGTATAAACCCAAGGAGAGTGGTGCAGCAGCCAAAGGTGGTGAAAATGAGGAGGAGAAGCCTAAGTTCAGCAAAGCTCAGCGGCAAAGAAGAAAGGAGAGAGCTTGTGGGGCACAATTGCGAGTGCCGCTTTCTCCAACCCAACTTCCGCTACGGGAGAGTGTGATTGGCTGACCTTGCATCGGCGAATGGGGCATGTGGCATTGCCCATTTTGCAGCAGATAGTTAAGCAAGAGATGGTCAGTGGGATACGTTTCAAGGGGGAGCCCAATGAGGTGCTTGGCTGTCCAACATACATGCAAGCCAAGTTCACCCGCTACCCGTTCCATAGCTCGGAGACAACGACGAAGGCACCACTCGATGAGGTGGTGATGGATGTGGTGGGCCCCTTGAAGCTTGGAGCTGCTGGAGCTGAGTACTTCCTCACCATTGTGGACGTCTACACTCTCATTACTTGGGTGTATGTGTTGCCCAAGAAGAGTGACGTAGCTGAAACAGTGAAGACCAATTGGTTGCCGATGGTGGAGCGGCAACAAGACCGGCTTGTGAAGGCGATTCGCACAGACCGTGGGGGAGAGTTCCTGAGCAAGGACTTCTCAACTTGGCTGAAGAAGCAGGGCATAAGGCACTCTCTCACCATGCCCTACTCTCCTGCAATGAACGGCATCGCCGAGCGTGCGAATCGGACACTCACGGAAACGGCTCGGGGACTTCTCATTGAAGCCGGTCTTCCCAATTACTTTTGGCCGGATGCGGTGCGGCATTCTTGTGTGGCCAAGAACAGAGCATTGACTCATGTGGGAGAAGACAAATGGGTGCCCTATGCGGAGTGGATTGGAAGGAAGCCGAAGGTGGATATGCTTCGGGTGTTCGGGTGCATGTGCATGGCACTTGTGCCTAAGAAACTTCGGCACAACAAGCTTGATACCAAGGCAACATGGGCCGTGAACCTGGGCATGGCTCAAAACAGCAAGGGATGGCTTTTTTGGGACCCATTTACCAAGAAGTTCTTGGTGAGCAGAGATTGCAAGTTCATGGAGAACTTACCGTACAAGGAGTGGAAGGCGGAGAACCAAGCGAAGATTGGTGTGCGGCTTGGAGAGGTGAAGAGTACCGGCTTGGAGCATATGGAGCTGCCCTTGGAGCTGAGTAGCAGCAGCACAATCACAAGGCAATCTCCTCGAATGAATGGGGGAGAAGAGGAGGAGGAGGTGCATCAAGGTAATGAGCGTGCACCGTCACTTCCGCCTCATGTTACAAATGCTCGCGGGAACCGACCAGATTTGCAGCAACGCCATGAGAGCATCCAAGTCCCTGCAGCAGAGGAGGAAGGAAGGGGGAGAAGGAAGACTCAGCCCCCAAAAATGTTGAGCTATGAACGGCTTGGAGGACCAGCCAACTCAACCTTGACCGGTTCGGCTCTCATGCTAGGCGATGATGCGGAAGATGAAAGCGAGGAGTGCGCTTTTGCCTTCTTCTCTCTGGTGGAGATACCGGGGGAGCCCACAAATCCCAAGGAGGCTTGGGAGGGCCCCAATGGGAAGGAGTGCAAGAAGGCCTCAGATGAAGAAATAGGGAGCATCATCGAGGACGACACCATTGACATGGTGTACCTACCTCCGGGGCGTAAGGCGATTTCTTCCAAGTGGCTCTTCAAGCGCAAGACCGACGCCGACGGCAACATTGAGCGCTACAAGAGCAGACTTGTAGCCAAGGGGTACCAGCAGCAGGAGAAGAAGGACTACAATGAAGTATATGCTCCTGTGGTGAAGGGTACAACCCTTCGAACTCTCTTCGTCGCGGCGGCCATCAAATGATGGGTGGTGAAGCAAATGGACACCGTAACGACCTTCCTCAACGGAGTTTTGGAGGAAGAGACCTACATGGAGCAGCCAGAGGGATACAATGATGGGATTGGCAGAGTGTGGAAGCTTAGGAAAGCACTCTTTGGCCTCAAGCAAGCCCCTAGGCAATGGTACATCAAGCTGCGGGAAGTCTTGGAGGCGATCGGCTTCACTCCCTCAACGGCCGATCAATCATTGTTCATGCTTGGCGAGGGGGAGCAGAGGAGCTTCATGGTGGTTTATGTGGATGGGATCCTCATATTCTCACCCTCCTCTGACCTTGTGAAGGAGGTGATGCTGAAGCTTCAAGACAAGTTCAAGTGCAAGACCCTTGGTGACGTCAACTACTACCTTGGGCTTCACATTGAGCGAGATGTGGAGAAGCGGTGGATGCGAGTGCATCAAAAGAAGTACTTGGAAGCCTTGGCTGCAAACTTTGGGAAGAGTGAAGGCCATGTGGCTACTCCTCTACCCTCAGGGTTCAAGTGTGTGAAAGGACAAGCCGAGGAAAGTGTTGGTGAAGAGGAGAGGCGCCGTTTTCATTCCTTGGTGGGCAGCCTCATGTATGCGGCCGTTCACACAAGGCTGGATGCATCCTTTGCTACCGGGCAGCTGGCTAGGGTTGTCCAATGCCCTAATGAAGAGCAGGTAGCAGCTGGAAAGAGGGTAGCCAAGTACCTTGGCCAAACAGCAACTGTTGGACTGCAATACTCCGCGGCGACACAAAGGCGTCAAAAGGGTGCGGATGGAGTCGAACTCGGGAGGCTCTTTCTCACTGCCTTCACTGAAGCATCTTGGGCATCAGAACCAGAGGATATGACAAGTGTGGGAGGCTTCATCTGCTGTATTGGTGGAGGCCCAACCGCTTGGGAGAGCAAGAAACAAGTGGACCAAGCATTGAGCTCGGTGGAGTCCGAGTACATGGCACTCTTCCGTGCCATAAGAGAGGTTGTGTGGCAGCGGCGTTTGCTAGCTGAATTGGGGGAGGAGCAGCAAGGACCTACCTCAATCTATTGTGATAGCCATGGTGCTATTGTATTGGCAAAGAACCCGGTTCTTCATGGCCTTACCAAGCACATGAAGGTGAAGTGGCATTGGGTGAGGAGCATGGTAACCGCGGGTGAAGTGGATTTGCACTACGTAAAGACGATGGCACAGCCTGCTGATATGATGACCAAGAGGCTGGTTGAGCAGCAGCATTGGAGGTGCTCCAAGCTTGCTGGGATGGCTCTAAACTAAGGGGAGCAGATTCTAAGGCCAACAATCCGAGGGGGAGTTTGTTGGTGCAACCCTATGGCTTGCACTCGGCTTGTCGTCCTTGTTTGTGTGTGTGCATGCATGGCATGGAATGAATTGTGAGTCTATGTTATTGCTATCTAGTTCTTGTGTGTGTGTTTGAATGGTTTATCACAATGTGGTTTGTGTCGGTCAAGACATTAGCGAGTTTTTACAACGCGCATGTCAAATCGTCGTTTACGTGTCGCATGTGTTTTTTCTATTGTGTCGAGTGTGAAGTGTCCATCGCATCGCAGGTGTGTGCAGCAAGCCCCCATCAACTCAATAAGAATTTATCTTGCAGAACCAAGACCAAGAGCTCAAGATTTCAAGCCCAAGGGACACGGATAAACATTAAATAGTGAAAATAGTAACGCTACTTCGTGTAGTGTTATATTTCACTTGGTGTAGCCCCTTGGAGGGTTTGTTTCGAGACTCTTCATGGTTGGGGACTCTGTGGTGGTGTACCACCAAGCAGGATCTCGGCTCTTGAGGTATGTAGAGGCTGGGAATCATCTCCATCTCGAATTCTTCTTGCTAAGTTTGTACTTCCAAGACTATAGTGGCTGCTATACCTCCTGCCAGTCAAACCGCCATAGCGTCGTCAAATCTTCATGGAATTTTATGATTCAACTTGCTGCTGATAGGCGAGAGCAACGCGCTCCAGATCCAATTTACAGATCACCGTTTGAGGCACAGATCAGTTCGGCATCAATATTTGAAGCTGTCTGACGAAATTCTGACTGTGCACAATTTCTCTCATTTTAGGCACATTTGAGCCTATTGTGACTATAACAGAACAGCTCCCTCGTTAGGGGGCACTATGCTCGCGTCAGGAACTGACGAGGAGGAGGAGGCTCTTGACGATCCTTCTACAGCGTCCCACCCTGGTGCCGTGACAGGATTAGACTTGTTGCGAAGAAATCCTCCCGCATCGGCACCTCCCCCTCGAACGCACACCGCAGAAGTAGTAGAGGAGGCATCTCGCCCTGCTGTAGCTACACCACCTCAGCGAAGCACTACGCCCCGCACTTCTTTGGATCAAGGCTCGACTCGTATTGGACTGCCGTCGAAGAAGCTCGAGCCCTCACGCTATCGGCAGGCAACTCTGAGTTTCGGGCACTCGCAAGACACTCCCGCTCCGACTCTGCATGTCGTCCCTCCCGTTGTTCCAGGACCATCTGCAGCGCCGACTTTGTCATCAAACACCGAAATTGAAGACGGGGCCGAACGAAAGTACCAGGAGGCAATTGAAAAAGCGGTGGAGTACTGACTTTCCTTGGCTTGTGCTTAGTCAGACCCGTGCAGGATTCCCGGCTTTGAAGTGTAAGATTTGCATGGAACATGGCGGGCCCGGAACGAACTACGGGAAGGGCGAAGAAGGTGCGACCAACGTCCAGATGCAGGTGATGCAGAACCACCAGCGCACGCGGAAGCACAAGAGAGACACTGCCACTGCGATCGCTGAGGGGCAGCTGCGCATGGAGGACTTGGCGAAAACACATACCGTCCAGCGCGAGTGTGTTACTGCACTGCTGGAGACTCTGCTTTTCATCTGTCAGTCCGACGCGCCCATCAAGATGTGGGTGCAACTCGTGCGGCACCTTTCCAAGCGACGTACTCCTGGTTTTCCCAAACGAGGCTACGGGTCTTACTTCACAGCGTAAGTCCTTGGGTGTTTTATTCATTTACTATTTAACATGTCTTGATCCCTCGCATGTACTAATCTCCCTGCATGGTTTGTGCAGGTATGGCTTTCAGGAGTTAACCAAGTCGACAGCCATGTACCTTTGAGCTCGTCAACTTGAGTACTTGGAGTCAAGCCCGTTCATTGGCTTGAGATGTGACGAGAGTACCGACAGAGTTCGTGGCAAACACATGATTGTGTTTGCTACTTTCCTTTGCAAGCGCGTCGTTGTTACAGAGTTTCTAACGCTTCTTCCTGACGATAAATGTGATGCAGCTTCTCTGGAAGGCTCTCTTGTCGCTTACCTCGAGAGCATCGGCATCAGTCTCTCAAAGGTGTCAGGCAGCAGCACCGACGATGCCGCAGTGATGGTTGGAGCCACGAACGGGATCATTGGGCGCCTTCAACAGCGGATCCCGCATGTGGTTTCTGTCCACTGCATAGCGCATCGGTTCGTTCATGCATAGACTTTATATCCCGTTTAGAAAACCGTGCACTAAATGTATTTTTTTGAAAGCGTGTAACGCTTTATAAAAAATGTGTATTGTGAAAGTGCAGCGAGGGCCAACGCAGCAAGGACAGCGTCGAAGCGCTACTCACCCTCTTTTGCCTACAAAAGAGGGACGTGAGGCCATTCGACCTCACCCACGTTCTTCATTTCTAGTTCCAGTTCGTTTTCCCCGTTCTCGTCCTAGTTCTAGTCTTCTTGTTCTCGCCCAAGCTGGCGAAAACCCAGTCGCTTCCGTGCTTCAAAGCCCCGACAATGCTCCTCACCGACATTCTGCAGCACAATATCGTCACGATGACTTCCGCCAATTCTGCTCTGGCTCGCGCGGTGAACAACATTTCTACCCCCGCTAACGCCCAGGCGATCGGAACTTCGCCCGGGGGAACCGACCGTCGTCAGAAACGTCCTGCTGAGGACAATTTCGGCGAGGGCCCCTCGGCAGTCCAGATCCTGCTTGGCGGCACTCACGCTGCTCCAGAAGAAATTCGCGCGGCTGCAAAGCAGCCGCGCGTGCAGTCAACGGAAGACCACGCGCCAGCCCGAGGCGCGTTGCGTGCAGGCCAGGCGGGCCCCACCACCCAGCACGCGCCTGCCGCTGACCCCACGCCAACCGCCGCCGCCCCCGCCTTGACTGCGTACCAGCTGCAAGCGCTTTTGGCGCTGTTACAGCAGCAAGCTCCTGCTGTTACAATCGGAACCTCATCCGATAATGCTGCGCCTACGATCAATTTTAACAAAAAGAAAGAAATGGCTACCCATCCTCGCGCGCCCAAGGCTCCCCGCACAGACGACCAGCCCCCGGCACCGACTCCCGTACCCGCTGACAACCCCGATGACAGCGACGACTCCGACAATGACGACGGTGAGGGCCCCGCCAACATTGCTCGTCGTCGCATCCTTGCACCCGCCCCCCCTCTCCCCCACCTTGGCCCCACGCCCGCAGCTACTACCTTCATGCGCAAGGGCGCACGCGACCAGGCCAAGGTCTTCACTGCCATCGAAGCGTACCTGAAGCACATCGACTTCAAGCTGCAGCACGGCGATGTCGTCGGCGCACTCAACAACGTAAAGGATATCGAAATACTTATTAATAAGCGTTTCCAAGTCCTTCTCGTTGCGGACGAAGCCGGTTTCGAGGCCGCCGACCGCTTCCAGCTTTATCAGTCCAAAAGTGTCCTCACATCCAGGTCCTACAAGCTGGCGGTCGCGGATGTGGCAGCGCTCAAGCATGCACGCCTCGGCTACACGCGCGGCAGCCGTCCCGGTGGTCGCGACACGGACTCGGACATCAAGGGCTCCCCCCCTGCTACGTGCCAGCAGCCGCGCTTCAAGGGAGTCTGCTTTCGCTGCGGCCAGCCAGGCCACATGGCCAATGCATGCCACATGGGCGGGCGTGGTGCGCAAGGTCCCTCACCGGTGGTGTGAGCGGTCGATAGGGCGGCGCCCTTTTTCCCACATGCAAGAGGCATAGTGGGTTGCACGGCGGGTGCATGGCCGCTTGCCAGCCTTTTGCCAAAGGCAAGGGTTTTTTGCTGACTAGGGTAGCCTTTGGAGGCAGCAAAGGCTGATAGGCCTAGGCTTGTAATAATTCCTATGATTGAATTAAAGGCTCGATGGATTATGGCCATCCGTTTCTCTACCAAAAAAAAAAAAAAAAAAAAAAAAACCCTGATGGGGTAGGGGGGAGGGAGGGGGCGACAAAGCCCAGTCAACATGGCTGAACAGCCTTGAGCGTGGCCCATGATCCCTCACATTTATTTGCCGGCAATGCAACACGCCTAGAGAACTAAGCATGGAGGCACGCCCGACGCCCAACAAATGGCGTGCACGCATGCACTTGGAGACCAATCAGAGCCAAGGACAGAGTCTGGGCGCTAAAGTTTGCATAAGGAGTGGCCCAAACAAAGATAGCAGAAGAAAGGAAAAGGAAGAAGAAGTCAACCACCAATAAGCACGCACACGCTCAATAAACGTCACGTATGGACATACCATGTGATGCCTTCGCACGCAAAGGAAAGAGGGAGAGGGAGAGAGAGCGAGTGAGAGAGAGAGAGAGGGGGAGGGAGAGAGAGAGAGAGAGAGAGGGAGAGAGAGAGAGAGAGAGAGAGAGAGAGAGAGAGAGAGAGAGAGAGAGAGAGAGAGAGAGAGAGAGAGAAAGAGCGAGAGAGAGAGAGAAAGAGCGAGAGAGAGAGAGAGGGAGAGAGGGAGAGAGAGAGAGAGAGAGAGAGAGAGAGAGAGAGAGAGAGAGAGAGAGAAAGAGAGAGAGAAAGAGAGAGAGAGAGAGAGAGAGAGAGAGAGAGAGAGAGAGAGAGAGAGAGAAAGAGAGAGAGAAAGAGAGAGAGAGAGAGAGAGAGAGAGAGAGAGAGAGAGAGAGAGAGAGAGAGAGAGAGAGAGAGAGAGAGAGGGAGAGAGAGAGATAGAGAGAGAGAGAGAGAGAGAGAGAGAGAGAGAGAGAGAGAGAGAGAGAGAGATAGAGAGAGAGAGAAAGAGAGCGAGAGAGAAAGGGAAGGAGAAAGAGGGAGGAGAGAGAGAGAAACAGAGAGAGAGAGAGAGAGAGAGAGAGAGAGAGAGAGAGAGAGAAAGAGATAGAGAGAGAGAGAGAGTGACAGAGAAAGAGAAGGGAAATAGGGAGATGAGGACCCCTTGCACCTTGCAAGCACCTGATACGGCAGTGGCGGTGCGATCCGAGCATGTCATGCCCCGTTTACACTGCCCCGCATCGTGCATCCGTTCACGAGCACAGTATCCCACTCCCATCTACCAACCCATGTTTATAACCTCTTATATGGCAGAGATCCCGAGTGGGTGGCCACAAGAGGAACGCGATCCCTACGAGCTCGCAATTACAGACAAGGACGTTACCATCATGCGCAGTCGACTGCGGCATGCCTTGCACTGGTGGTGCTCCTGGTGTGACAGTAGCTTTATCCTCTCCGTCATCGCGAAAGGGTATTGGCTGCCCTGGAAGAATGCAGCCCCCACACCCTTCGAGGACAACAACCATGCCGGAGTCTGCACGCACCTCGACTTTACTCGCGATACAATTCGCGATCTCGTAGTCACTGGTGCTGCCGCAGTGATCGAGAAGAGAGACACACTAACATGTGTCAGCCCGCTGAACGTCGTGGAGCAGCGCGACAAATGCCGCCTCATCCTTGACCTGCGGAAAGTGAACACTCACCTTGAAGTCCCTAAGTTTAAGTACGAAGGTCTGAATCGTGTAGCGGAGCTCATCCGCCGAGATGACTGGATGTTCTCCATCGACCTGAAATCCGGGTACCATCACGTCGAGATTCACCCCTCTTGTTGGAAGTTTCTGGGCTTCCAGTTCGAAGGCATCTACTACTCCTTTCGGTCATTGCCGTTCGGCCTTGCAACTGCTCCATTCGTCTTCACCCAACTAATCAAACAACTTGCCAAGCGATGGCGGGCAAGCGGTGTTCGAGTGGTCCCGTATGTCGACGACCTATTATTTCTCTGCGATTCCCATCAGCAAGCGTGCTCGACTCGTACGACCGTCCTCCATGACCTTAAAGCAGCTGGTTTTGTCATTAACGGAAAAAAATCGCACCTTCACCCATCGCGTCAGCTTCGGTTCCTCGGCTTGGAAATCGATTCCACCCGCGGCACGTTCTCCGTCGGACTCGAGCGAAGGGCACAACTCTTAACCACACTCGAGGCCTTGATAACCCAAGGAAACTCAGGAAGGCCTATTCCCGTTTGCTCCCTCGCAAGAGTTACAGGCATGCTCGCCTCTATGGCCCTAGCACTGGGCGCGACTGCACGATCATTCAGCCACGAACTCCTGCGACTTATTGCCGACGCAACGTCATGGCACTCCAAGGTCCTCCTGCACCCGGCAGCGGTGAACGAGCTACGTTTTTGGCTGGTGCAATTCGACAAATTTAACGGTGCCCCATTTCATCTCAGTCACCAGTTCGACGCCGTCATCCACGTGGACGCAAGCGCCCACAGTTGGGGCGCCATCCTCACGCCACTCCCTCGGATCCCAATAGAAGCAAGCTCCCGCATGCCAGAAGACCTCCTACACACTTCCAGCACCCGAAGGGAACTCGAAGGTGTAATGTGGGCACTCAGAACCTTTGTCACCCACATCTCCAAACGACACGTGTTAGTTCGTATGGACAACCAGGGGGTTGTATTCATACTGCGCAAAGGCGGCTCCAGCATCCCTGCACTCACACTACTTTGCCAGGCGATCATCGACCTTTGCTTAAAAAATCAGACACGCCTGGCCATCGAATGGATTCCCCGGGAGCTGAACGCGCACGCCGACGAACTCTCCAAACTCCAGGACCGAGATGATTACTCACTCAAATCCCCATGGTTCCGACTCCTCAACCGCCGCCTGGGGCCGCACTCTGTCGACCTATTTGTGCACGTTAACAACGCTCAACTGAGGCGCTTCTGCTCCAAGATTCCTCACCCCAAGGCCACCGTGGTTGACGCCTTCTCGTTCAGCTGGCATGATGAATGAGGCTTCGTGTTTCCCCCTCCCCACCTCCCGGCTACTCTGCGCCACGCCCAACGCACCCACGCCGAGTTGACGCTGGTCATCCTTGAATGGCCAGGAGCCTCTTGGTGGCCCCTACTGCAGCCAGCACCACAAACCTGGGCACCAGAAGTAAAGGCACACAGTCCCCTCACTCAAGACAGCCAATGCCTATCCCCAGGCACACACTCACTCGCCTTTGCTGGTCTTGGTTTCCCCAATAGCTCGATCATCGCGTTGCATGTGACATATAAAATATAACCCCACCGTGTCTCGCGCTCTCTGCATTTCAGGCTTATTATCAAACCTACAGACACAGCTACTTCGGGTAATCACCCATGTCCGTGCGCCATCCACCATAAGGACCTACAACTCGTATTGGCTCAAGTTCCGCTCCTTTTGCACAAAGGTCAAGCTGAGCTACCTGCCAGCCACAGACACCACTCTAGCGCTCTACCTTGTCTACGCCCTCAACAATCAGGCCACAATATCCGCCATATCCCTTACGTGCTCCGCCGTCGCATTTGCACACCGGATGACCGGAGAACCCTCTCCCACCAGCGGGCCCTCCACTTCACAAGTTTGGGAATTCTCCAAACGCCACGGCCCGTGCACCACTAGGACGAAGGAACCCTTGTCGCTCCACCAGGTGCACGCCATGGCACACCCCTTCCTTGAGTCAAGCAGCCCGGCAGAATATCAGAAAGGACTGATCCCACTCATGTTCGCGGCATTCCTCCGCTACTCCGACCTCGTCTCCATCCAGTGGAACGACATCCGGTTTGACGAGGAGTCTATGTGGATCCTAATCCCGAACTCCAAGACGGATCAGGACGGCAAGGGCTCATGGATCCCAGTTGCTCCAACAACTGGACCTTACTGCCCAGTCCGTTGCACCCAACGGTTTCTGCAACTCGCAGGACACCCCGCCACCTCGCATGGACCATTGATCCGTGTCTTTGGCACCAACGGCAGGGCAACTGTAAGAAATAGAGTTGAAATGATTGAGTAGGTAAGGATCCCAAGGCTCTATAAGTACATGGCAAGGTGAGAGTGAATGGATGAAGGGGGAATTGGAGGGAATCCCCATTGGGATCTTCGGAATCTCCAATTGGGTAATTGGAGATTGGGGGGATCACAATTGGGTGAGGTTGGGATTTGTGAGTACACCCCAACCCACTAGAACATTCATAACCTAAACTAGGATATAAAAGTACAAATACAAAAGTGGTATTTGTAGTCTATTTCTAACACACCCCCATAGACTGCAAACCCGGTCAAGGAGCACATAGCCCCATGGAACGGAGAAGGCGATGGTGGTCAGCCTTGCCGAGAGCCTTGGTAAAGAGGTCGGCGAGGTTGCAATCTGAGGCGATGTACCGTACCGTCAGCAGCTCGATGTGCTTGGTGTGAGAGTGGAACACAGGATCCTTGGTGAGGTGAATGGCACTCTGGTTGTCACACCACAGGGTGGGCGACTGCTGGGGGTAGCCTAACTCAGCGAGGAGAAAGGAGAGCCAGCGTGCCTCTTGAGCAGCCATTGTGCCCGCGTAGAGCTCGGCCTCGCAGGACAACAGGGAGACTGCAGAGGACCGAGTGGAGCGCCAGCTGATGACTCCTGTCACAGGATGGAATGTCCCGAGGAAAGGTTTGCTCAATGTTGCACTATCAATCAGTACAAGGTGCTTTTATACTTCCATAGTACATCAGGTAACCAGGTTTATCCTATCCAAAGGGAATAGACCCTTCTAGAAATAGAATCACCCTGCGTATAGCCACGCGAGGCTATTGGCTTTAAGGGATTACGGCAGGATTACGCTAGATATAGCGCGCCAGTACATCCCGAGCCTGGTCGGTGATATAATTATAATAACAGGATAAACCAAAGGATAATGGAAAAGGAGGAATAGGAAACCAAATGAGATGAGATAAAGACCAAATGAATGAGGATAAAAAGAGGAATGAAATAGAAAGGAAATATGGAAAGGGGAAATTGGTGTAACGGGGTCGTACTCTCACACTTCCCCCCCTCAAAGCTGGGTGGTAGAAGTAACACCCTGCTTGACAAGGTAGTCGCGAAGAGGACGACGGGTGTTACCCATGTCGAGTTCAGAGACGTAGCGTTAGAAGGATCAAAATCCTTCCAGCAAAGAAGAAGCTCCAGAGTGCCATTCTGACAACGACGGTGTTCGCGCACGTAGTTGTGACATGGCGTGGATGAACACGGGCGGCGGCGGTGGTTGGCATTCGTTGTAAAGCGCGTTTGATCTTGATAGGGTTTAAGAAGCTTGTATGGAAGGTGTAATGGAACTTCCAAGTGGCTGGTAGGCGGAAGCGGAAGGTGAATGAAGTGACCCTTGCTTCAACGATGATAGACCCGTAGAAGCAGGGTTGACGCTTGGATAGAAGATGGCAGATTATGGTGTGGATAACTGTGGTGATGAGTAGCCAGGTGCTTCTGCTGCTGTTGGATGTCCAAGAGGTGCTTGTGTGGTCGATGTACAAGATGGTGGACGATGGCGATGAAATCGGAAGCCAGTTGGACTGTGGCTGGTATGGTTAGCTGTTGTGGTGTGATCGGGTGGCGTCCGTAACAAACGAAGTACAGCGTCTGTCCAGTAGCACCGTCACGAGCATACTTGTAGGCAAACTCCAGGACGGGCAGATGGAAGTCGGAGTTGGAGATGTGAATGGTTGGAACAGTGTGCTGTAACGTGCAGATGAGTGGCTATGTTGTCCGAGCTGTGCATGCTGTTATCTGCATCTGGTCCACGTGTGAAGATCACCAAGTGTTGGTGGTATGGCAGTTGTGTCGTAGTACTGCTTCTGTAGCAGTGTTGTATCCGTTACATGCAGCTTCTGTCGAATGTTGGTCCATGCCTTGGTGTTGTCGCGAGTCGTACCCATTCGGCATCGTAGTGCTGCGGAATGGAGAGCAGAATCACTTGTAGTAATCCTGTCCACCACGCGGTCTGCTACTCACATTGCCTTGAGTACAACAGCGCATGCGAAGTGCTGCTCAGCGTATCCCTTGTGTTCAGAACCATGCGAGGGGTTGGTACCACAAACGCGGAGCTGGTAACTTCCAGAATCGGCGCCAAGGTAGTTTCCCTCGGTGGTTGCTCAAGCAAGGAATCTCTGCTGCGTAGATATCCCACGGTGATGGGTTAGGATATCTGGGAACGTTACGGGTATTCCCAAGTAATCCTCTCCTGTTTCCAAATGAGCATTGCTGATAACCAATCCAGTATGACCTTATGCACGTCCAGTTTAGCACAGAGGCCATCGGTAGGCATCGGTGTCTGGCGCACATATTGGGATAGGTCTTCTGCTGCCATCATGTGTTGTCTCATTCTGTTGCTGTCCTTGAAGTAGCGATGATGTCGAAGATGTCTCAGCTACTTAGCATTAATGTTGAAGTCTGCTCCATTTCGGCCAATAGGGGTGTTGTTGGAGATACGCGGAGTCCACTATCCGGAGTGGCGTCGGCGCTCCATTTCACGCCTATCTGCTTCCGTGGAGTTGGTGCTGCTGATGGATTGGTTGTGACGCAGGTTTTATGACTTTAAGGAAAGCCATAGGCCATGAGGACTTATATACCGGTAGAGTACCGTGGTCCTCCCATCCTCATAAGAGCAAATATCTTCCGCTCTTGAGGGTGTATGGCATTGCCATGTTGGTTCCTCGCATAGTGGTATCTCCTTCCCACTAGCTGGAAATCATAGGACTGTGCCTGGCCGGGACTTAACGATCCACTGGAATATAATCCAGCATTATCTCCATTGAGTGGAGAATCATCCATCAGGATTTGGTTATGAATGTTCTATCGAGTCTTCTGCTGCGGCGGCGGCGGCGGTTGCGACGACGGCGACGGCGGCAGCTGCTGCAGAGAATTCTCTTAACTCGTACGGGTTGAAGGAGAATCCATCAACTCCCCCTTCCCAGTAGAGTGTTCCTGATGGGTGTAACAGGCGTAACTACCAGGAACACGTGCATTTTGGTACACATGTGTTGCTCCATTGCTGCCGGTGATTGTTTCATTTGAGGGTATGAAGAGAAATTTGCTTCTCCCCTCAATGTATCCACGGGTAGCAATTCCTGGTATGCTCATCCGTGCCTCCGATGTACGGTCGGTAGAGCGCGTGATCGTGTTGTAGTAGTCTGCATCTCCCTCATTTGTTGACACCTCGTGTTGCTTGACGTTCTCCTGCATCGTCGAAGTTACGATGGTGCTTGTAACGCTTCGGCTTCTGGTAGAATCGCCTCCAATGCATGTGCCGTAGGGTCGCTAGTGAACGAGTACTTGCCGGATTAGAGGTTAATTACTCCTCAATCTGTCAAGCATCGTGACGTGCACGGAATTTTATTCCACGCAGGTCATTAACACCTGGAATCGCGACGCATGATTGGTGTGTCGCCTCGTGAGGTCGATGTTGAGACTGCTCCAATCAATCACCTCGGATGGCTGAGATTCTTGATGAAGACGAATCGGTCAGCTCCTGTTACAAAGTAGTGTCTCGCTGGCCTTGACGAGACAGGTTCACTGCGTCGTCGTTGCGTGCGAAATCTGCTCCTTCGCAGCAACTTGAACTTGGGAGCATTGCAAGAGAAAACGGCTACTTCTCTGCAATCCCATAGGTTGTCGATCAATTTGTATGAAGAAGTGTCTCGTGGATGGAGAACATGTCTTCACGCAGCTCCATTATTTTTCCTGGGTGAAGATCTCGCGGTGTTGATGTCGATCCATTTTTAACGAAGATGACTTCGTCAAAATAACTCGATCGTTATCGACACCAGTCAGAAGATGCGTCAATTGTGCAGTCGCTGGTCACGAATGTTGTCTCCATGATGATGATTTCCCATAGTGTAGTCTCCGCTGCATTTGTGCCGTTGATTCCGCACCGATCCGACGATCCACGTTCTCCTGTCATTTTTCTGCATGCAGATATTACCAAGTAGGTAATACTCTGGCAGATTTCTGACTCCGCAGATGATTTGCACGCCAAATTCGTCACCAAATGAAGGAATTCGAATTTGGTTGTCCAGATGTTGTCAACGTTGTCGAAGGCGGCTGATTTCTAGTTCTCCGCGGTATTCTCCCTTCGTGCAGCAGTCGCGCTCCATCTCGTCCGTTGAAGTAGAAGTAGATCCGACGGTCCAAACTCCAAGCGATCTGAAGACGTTCCTGAGTCACGTTCAGCAGCTTTCGGCGCCCGGGTGGAGTCGTTTCTCTTAGCAATTCTGGGTCGTCGATGTCAGCTGTCGAACGATCGGACGCTCCGAAGAATTTCGCGGCTTGCGAGGTCCCGTTCCCATTCGCGCTGAAACTCGAACTCGCTCATACAGGTTTCGTTTTCGCCTCGGTCGATCTGAAGCGTCGAATCTCCATCGGACGGATGTCGTCGGTCGAACCTCCGCAGAGTTCCACGCAACTCCAAGTGTTGTCGCGAACTGCGAACTTCTCCGAATTTCGCAGGGAGTGTTCCGCCGGAACTGAAGCGCTCGCCAGGTCGAGGCCGTTTGCCCCCGCGAAAAATCGGCACCGTCGATGCAGTCCATCGAACGGTCGGCGAGGCATCTCGCCTTCGAAGGGGACCCCAGGTGCAACTGCGCAAGGATTGTCGAAACTTAGAAAGAAACTGCATGGTACTTACAGGAATAGAAGTTTGGACTCCATCCTCGGCGTGCTCCTGGGGGCCCAGCGGTTAAGCGTTGAGCTTAAACCTTGGCTCTGATTACCAAGTGTCACAGGATGGAATGTCCCGAGGAAAGGTTTGCTCAATGTTGCACTATCAATCAGTACAAGGTGCTTTTATACTTCCATAGTACATCAGGTAACCAGGTTTATCCTATCCAAAGGGAATAGACCCTTCTAGAAATAGAATCACCCTGCGTATAGCCACGCGAGGCTATTGGCTTTAAGGGATTACGGCAGGATTACGCTAGATATAGCGCGCCAGTACATCCCGAGCCTGGTCGGTGATATAATTATAATAACAGGATAAACC